AGAATCCCACAAGGTCATTTCGTGAAAGGCCAACGAACACCATCTGGCTTTTCCATGACGCTTCAGCCAAGCAATGCAACGTTTGGATTTTGTGTTCCGTGAAGCTGGATGACCAACCTATAATATTAATCCTAGGTCAAGCCGGCGAAAATCCCATGCCAACAAGCTCTCTCTCTCTCTCTCTCTCTCTCTCTCTCTCTCTCTCTCTCTCTCGCCCTCGCCCTCGCCCTCGCCCTCGCCCTCGCCCTCGCCCTCGCCCTCGCCCTCGCCCTCGCCCTCGCCCTCGCCCTCGCCCTCGCCCTCGCCCTCGCCCTCGCCCTCCGCCCTCGCCCTCGCCCTCGCCCTCGCCCTCGCCCTCGCCCTCGCCCTCGCCCTCGCCCTCGCCCTCGCCCTCGCCCTCGCCCTCGCCCTCGCCCTCGCCCTCGCCCTCGCCCTCGCCCTCGCCCTCGCCCTCGCCCTCGCCCTCGCCCTCGCCCTCGCCCTCGCCCTCGCTCTCGCTCTCGCTCTCGCTCTCGCTCCTCGCTCTCGCTCTCGCTCTCGCTCTCGCCTCTCGCTCTCGCTATCGCTCTCGCTCTCGCTCTCGCTCTCGCTCTCGCTCTCGCTCTCGCTCTCGCTCGCTCTCGCTCTCGCTCTCGCCTCTCGCTCTCGCTCTCGCTCTCGCTCTCGCTCTCGCTCTCGCTCTCGCTCTCGCTCTCGCTCTCGCTCTCTCTCCGCTCTCGCTCTCTCTCTCGCTCGCTCTCTCTCTCTCGCTCTCTCTTCTCTTCTCTCTCTCTCTCTCTCTCTCTCTCTCTCTCTCTCTCTCTCTCTCTCTCTCTCTCTCTCTCTCTCTCGCTCTCTCTCCTCTCTCTCTCTCTCTCTCTCTCTCTCTTCTCTCTCTCTCGCTCTCTCTCTCTCTCTCTCTCCTTCTCTCTCTCTCTCACTCGCTCTCTCTCACTGCGCTCTCTCTCACTCGCTCTCTCTCACTCGCTCTCTCTCACTCGCTCTCTCTCACTCGCTCTCTCTCACTCGCTCTCTGCTCACTCGACTTCCTCTCTCAACTCGCTCATCTATCACTCGCTCTCTCCTCACTCGCTCTCTCTCACTCGCTCTCTCTCAACTCGCTCTCTCTCACTCGCTCTCTCTCACTCGCTCTCTCTCACTCGCTCTCTCTCTCTCTCCCCCTACCTTCCAACGGCCGGATTGGTTAGATCTGCTAGTGTGGGATCTGGATAAGCTACACCAACTACTGTTGGGGTGAATTCACATTTCACATGCGTTACCGTCGAGCGACCTGCCGTGCAGGCACTCCACGGATGCTCGACGCGTCAGTATCGAATATCACAAGGACCTCTCCCGCAGGCAGAGCAGGTGATGAGCGGAACTAAACAAAGGTGGCTGTGGCACATGTGCGTGGCACAGTGGTGGTCGCCACTTTCTTCCTTCTGCTTCGTTTTCTTTATTGTTTGTTTGTACTCCCGTCCAATCGCATCAGGTGAACGACCAGGCCACGATAAAATGCGTTTCATTATTGCTTCCCGGGACCGCTTTCAAGGAAAACGACAACCGTCATGTCCGAAAATTTACAGTAAACGTGAACATAAGCATGCGATAATTCAAGCAAAATAGCATAAAATGCACTTTGCAGTAAACCAAACCAAGAAGTTCTTGTGAGTCACGGAGGACCACCAATGGGCTTTTATGGCGTATTTACTATCATGACTACACTAAGTGCCACGATATCAATGTTACGGCTGATACTCCCAAAGACAGTAGTGCTATATAACTTCTACGCGACATTACTTAGCCTGCAAAAACTCCCACAGCCGTTACTTATACGCAATATTCCTTCTACTGCAAAGCCTTAAACGCGAAATGAGCGCTAAACGACATCATGCATGCTTCGAATACATATATCCGACACTACTTCTACCGTAAAAACACACCTGAGTCCCACGCGATGCCACTTATACTATAAAAGCGTATACTCGTGATTACTTCGACAGCCAAAACCTAAACCATCATTTCTTACAATCCGTATACGTTCTACTGTGAATACATATACGTCACATTTCTGGTATGAGACCGGTCGCACTTCACAAATTATACTTGAACTACTTCCCCTCATACAATAAGCCTCACCTTAAAGGGAAACGCAGGGAAAGAGGCCCAGAAAGAAAACGGAGGGAACGAGGCCCAAAGAGAAAACGGAAGGGAACGAGGCCCAAAAAAGAAACGGGGGAATCGAACACATGGTTAAGCCTCACCCAAAAAGGAAACAGGGAGCACATGGGAACGAGAGGGAGCGAGCACATGGGAATACTTGGATGGCAAAACCAGACTAGAAATGCCCACTGAATGGTGTCGATGCATTAGTGCTGCTGCAAATATTGCTATCGATATACCCACACCGGCAATGGTCTACACGGCATTTATTCTACTTGAAACATACCTAGTGTAGTGTCAGTGTTGCGGAACTAGCCTGGGGGCTACGCACAAAAAGACGGCCAGACCTGTCGCAAAATAAATGAGACACGGGGTTTTATCACGCAAGGGGTTCTACCACAAATTGGAGCTGGATGGAGTCCTCGCCTAAATATGAAACTACAACCCTGGCCTGGTGTTCACTAAACCGCGCCATTACTTCTGCTGCAATGACTCATTTAAGGCATACGTGTAACATGACGAGACTAGTGCCCAACAGTTATACCCGTCCTTGAGGCTCTGGAACCGCGACTGCAACAACCCACCAAACAAACCCACCACCGGACGACAAACACATCAAATAACGTAACCTATTAAATAGATCAATTTCATATCGGTACTATAAGTTAATAATTGCAGCATCACCCAGTCGGGGTACCCTGCCACAACCTGCGTTGTTCCTACACTCTTACTAGATGTCCATGCATTTTGCACTCCACGGCTAAGTAATGGCAGTAGAAGTAATGTCGCGCACACGTAAGGCAAACATTTCTAAGCATACGTTTTCACATGCAGCACGAATATGCGTGTGTTTTTTTAGTACAAATCATGTCGAGGGCAAATTTAAACTTTAACTGTCTAAATTTTAAAGCATAAGTAATTTAATTATTAATTTAAATGTAAGTTTTGTCGAATAGTACTAATGCTGCGTATTAGTATTTGCAGTACAAGTAATGTCATGCACAAGTGATGACAGCAGACGTTTTCGCAGTAGAACTAATGCCGGGCATATGTTTTTGAAGCATAAGCTTTGTCGTGTAGCACTTCCGTCGCGTACCATATATTAGCCGTCAAAGTAATGTCGTGGCGCTTTTATCGGGAGTTTTTGCTGCAGCACACATGCCGTGGAACTATGGCAACTCTACTGCGCGGTCCACATATCGTGCATACATAACACGACCGACTTCCGCGCTCGGGGAGTGGCGGTTCAGCACAAACGCACGTCATGTCTAGGATGCATCGCGCCGGCTCGGGGGCCGCCAGCCCGAGGCCTCCTCGTCCGTACTTAGAATAAACTATAACGAGCAAGGATCGACAGATCTACAGCAGTGCTCGACCACAAAGCAGATCTCACCACGGAAATACCAGACAGGCCATTAAGAGCACTTGCACCGATAAGAGCCGACTAGACTATTCTTGATATCGCGCCACAAGTGCCCCAGCGCTTCTTCCGATTGCTCTCGCGGAGAGACCCACACCGCACAGGCAGCCCCTCCCGAACAACAGCCACCCAAAAGATATCACCGTGTATGGTGGCGTTGTCCCTCGCTATTCTTGATGACGTCAGCACATGAAAAGACATCGGGCATACAACTGACGAGCCCTTAAATCTACGACCACCTGGGAAAAGTATCCCCACTCCCTTCGAGTTACTCGAATAACTATAAGATATACTAGTAACTAGTGAGCAGTGTAAGGTATCTTGACTTCATCTATTCATTAAGTGCCTGACACATGATAAATTCCACGCGTTTATGACTAAAAAGAAATAGACTTTGGGGCAGGTTGCTTAATTGTGCGTCATCAATAAAGGCAACCCCGGCGATTTTGACCTCCATTCATTCGCCGTTTCTTTCCTAGGTTTGCATTGCTTTGACGCAGTTTGTCCATTAAGTAGATTGTCTGCCAGTCAGGCTCAGCTACACCACACGAGGTCACATCCGATAGTTTACGTAGGTTAGGTGAGGTCAACTCGCAAGGGGTTGAACTAAAAGGGATTTGCTGCGCTTACTTGTAACAAGAGAGCGGGCGTAACTGATGCAGTTCTACAACAGTGACAAGGTGCGCAACTACAAGTATTGCGGGCGTTAAATGCCCCTGACGCCGTTTCCATTTTTCGTTCCCAAGGTTATCCGCTCGATCTGTGGTGCCATCAAGCACGTAACTGATGTCAACTCAACGATTTCTGTGCCAGACTGACCACGGCCGCTGATTGTCATTTGCTTTTTTTCGATCCCACGTTTCGGTCCTAATACGACACCGGCCAGTGCAGCCTCAGCCTCAAGCGGGGTACTTTCACCTCGCCCATGTGTTCGCGGGTCGCGGAACACCCCGGTAAGTGCTGGATTAATAAGCAAGCAAACAAAAGCGGATGCTGTACCTTGGGGATCCTGGCGTAGCATTTGGGTGGATCATCTGGGTGAAAGTCGATGAGATGCTTCTTGACGACGTTCTGCTCCTGGTGTGCGTAGCTGCAGTACGCGCAGTGATAGGCCACGTAGCCATGGCCGACGTAATGCTGCAGACAAGAACCAAGTTAGCCACAATTACATATCGTCGTCAAAACAGCTCATAATGAAACTTAACTGTTGACTGAGGAAAACAGCCTGCCACACGCACCAATATATACATGAGGGTTTCAGATATCATATCTGGCGTCGCGGCACGGTATATTCTCAATCGGATTAGCGTTGCGTGCCTGTCTTAAATTTTGTATCAACATTCATTCACGTACGCATCAATACAATGCATAGATATGGTAAGGGGGAGGGGCATGCACCCATGGAGGCGTGTGAGTACACCCTGTTCGCACCTACAGCCCCAGCCCCAGCAGATACGAAATCAACGGACACCTGACCAACCAGACAAAAACACCCACCACATCCCATCAACGGTTGGTAATTCAGAACACAGCCCTCTGAACAGCGGAGCCGACAAGTGGTGAAGCCGGCGCCGCACTGCCGGCCGACGGCGTACCCCGATCAGAGCGCCGAAGGTGGCCACCTTGCAGCCGCAGATGTGGCACGGGAAAGAGACGACGCTCGGGTGCGCCTCGCGGTAGTGGTTCTCCAGCACGGCCGCCTTGATGAACGCCCTGTCGCAGCCCTCTGGTGGTGGGAGAGGCAGGTCGGACACCGGCACGATACTCAACCGCGGGCCGGCCGGGGACCTGATACCAACAAAATGCGCGTCGCACGCCGAGGCGGCGATCAGCCGCGCGAACTGAAAACTGTCGGCGGCAGCACGAACTGCTGCTGCACCGGACGGCCGCCGCAAGCCCGACAAATCCAATGCACCGGTTTCTGACTGGCACCAATGGGACGAAAACCCGCCTGCATACAGCCCAAACCTGAACAGCACGAGCCACGAAACCCGAGCACCGAAGCAAAACACACTATCGCTGCCGCACAGCTCGACTAAAGCGACCCGAGGTTCACGCGCCCATCCCATGAACCGAAATCCAAGTCACACGCGACGCCCATCCCTCGCCATTGGCGCGCGTCCGCCGTCATGCCCGACAGCGGCGGGACCGGAGCGGCGGCGGCGGCGCCTACCCTGCGCGCAGATGTACGGCGTGAGACTGGACTCCCCCACCATCTCCGTCTCCACCAGGTGCGAGGCGTTGAGGCCGGGCGGCGGGTTGGCCGGGTCCGATTGCAAGAAGTAGGTGGGCATGTCACCGTGCCAGCGACGCTGCGGGTGGAAAGCACGCCGATTAGCGACGGTGAACCGCGGCGCTCGCAAACCGCAGCTCTTTTGATGTCAGCAGATATAAGGAACGACAACATTGTGCTTACTGGCAGGCTTATGCATGATGCCGCTCCGGCGAAACCGATTCAGAACCGGTAACTCCTATCGGGACTCATCTTCCATCACGCCCTGCCTCCCCACGTGGGCAGCCAAGTCAGCTCCGTGCATTCCTGTGGATTCCCGCCGACGAGCGTATACGGAGCTAAATCGACAGTCGCACACCCGTCCACACCGGCCTGTGCCTAGCAGACGGTTCGCACACCCGTCCACACCGCCCTGTGTCTGGCAGACAGTCACACACCCGTCCACACCGGCCTGTGTCCGGCAGACAGTCGCACACCCGTCCACACCCGCCTGTGTCTGGCAGACAGTCGCACACCCGTCCACACCGGCCTGTGTCTGGCAGACAGTCGCGCCCAGGTCCAGAGCCCCACAGCCAGCCCTCACCTGGTGCTCGTGCATGTACGCGTTCTGCCGGGTGCGGTAGAAGCAGTAGCCGCATTGGAACTGGGAGACGGCGTGCCGCTTGTACACGTGCTCGGCCAGGTCGTCGCCCTTGTAGCCGCAGTAGACGCACACCAGCCGCGTGTTCATGCACGTATAGGCGGCCTCGTTCGGGGCGCATACGTCGCACTTCTCGTGGTTGCGCAGGTGCAGCTTGAAGAGCGTGCCGTTGTTGGTGGTGAGGCTGCAGTGGACGGCGTTGCACTTGTACGCCGACTTGTGGTGCATGTGGAACATGAGCCGCATCACCTTCGACTGGTCCTTGAGGGTGAGGAAGTACTTCCACGGCCGCCGCTCGCCCCCGGGCGGGAACGAGAACAGCTCAGCCGCCTTCCCCGCGCTCCCACCTGGCGGCCAGAGCGCGACTCCGTTCAGCCGAGGCGCTCCAACACCACTACTTGCGTCGCGTCCTCGCACGGCTACACCGATCATTCGAAACCCAACCATCAACGCAGACCCGCTCCTCACTGTCAAAGGAGTTGGAAACTCGAACCGCACTAGGCGCGGCGGCGTGTCTCAAACCCAGAGTTCGAGTGCGCGCGGTCACTTTCCGAATGCTACGGGCGACCGGTCCTACCTGCGCCAGCTGAGAGTCCCGGGTCGGCCTCCGACCCGCCGGTCAGGCTCATCACACTCGATATCATCAGTCCAGTCCCGGCGCCCTGCGAATCATGTAGCACATTTACACGGATGCGATGGTCGATGGATACCTCTGCTACGACAGAGTTGATAAATTTGAATGAAAGGTTGGCGGTTAAGGATGTAGGTTGAGAAACACAACGTTTTATCAGGAATACTAGTTGCGTGATAAATTATTATGATGATGGCAATGGGCGTACAAAACAACTTGTTTGCAATGTGATATGTATGCAAACATATATATATATATATATATATATGAAACGGACCGAAAAGCATGTCAACCTTTACTCAAACGGGCACTTATACCACACGAGGTGTGTGAAGCCCCAAACACCCGTCAGTGGTGGCAAACCCAGGCAAATTTCCAAAGTCAGCACGGACCGTCATCTCGGATGACATCTACTATGAGCCAGAGGCTGACCGACTCATCTGACGTGACAACATTTTGCCCTTTTCCGGGAAAGTTCTGGGCGCCAGTGGATGCCTTACGTAGTCAAGAGTCCGTGCAAGAAGGACCCGGGGATATATCACTCTTGCACAATAACCGAGTTGCGTGAAATGAAAGGTACACTCCTTAGACCCCAAAAGCTGATCAGGCTTTATCTTTCAAGAGGCCCCATCGCCGAGTCATGTACCCAGTACTGAAGGAGGTGATGTATTAAAGCCCCTTGACAGACGCTAACACCATACAACATAACACCTTGATAACGGTCGATAGACCCGGAGTGAGCAGAGGCACGTTTGACGGCAGGAAGGTTATCGAAGGACATGGCACAGTCATTCCGCTGGGACGACCGGTCCGATTAAGCACCCCAGCCTCAGTTGTGTGTGACAATGATCGCCCATGCAGCCGCCAAAGGCCACAAGTCTTTCGTACTCGCCCCGTCTCAAAGAGCGCAGCGGCATAAAAGCGCTCGACAGTATCGTCGCCATGCGTCACATGGTGACCGAAATGTGCAGTCTGCCAAATTTCCAACCGAATCGCACGCAATGTCAGTTTTAGTCGTTTTAACCCGACTAGCGTGAGCGACCTCCTTCCCCCCCCCCCCCCCCCCCCCCCACCACCCCCAAAGGCAAGACGTACACTACACACGCACGCCGTTATCAATTCAAGCCACACGCTGTGGGAAAAGTTTAATGTTTTGGCTAGCGTCTATGCCTAATTATTTATCACTTAAGTTTGTATGCCTTTGTCGTAACATTTGAAACCAACAGCGTGCCAAAAAATGATTAAGCAGTGCATTCATCTTGGAGCGGTCGGTCGAATCGCCATCGCTGCATCACGTGACGGCGACTTTCTTGTTCACACGATACTTCGGTTGTCAAAACTCGGAGCCGTCATTGACGTGGCCGGCACACCCAGCCCAAAGGACGTTGAACGTCGGCCATGTCTTTGTTTGAAAATCCAACCCCAATGGGATGTTCACGAGCCCATGTTAAGTCCATGACTTGCACTTACAGGCCTCCTATTGCATAACTGCCTTTTGCCCACGAGGCGAGCACTACCGCAAGAATACCAATTAGGATGCATATGCGACCATTTATGGCACTTTTCATCTCTTATTAGATGAGACCAGTCAGATTTTATCGGCAACAAGTTTTCTTGAAATTTCTGGGAAGCTCAAAATCTTGAATTCAAGTAGGCGCCGCTGCGGGACAACGCTCAATGGATTCCTTGCTCACCACTACGATGGTAGTAAATTTTATGTGCGTTGCCTTTTCAACGTGTGTTCTGTATTAAAACACTTATTTTTTAACATGTTCGTGCGCGAAATGCCACGAAAACTTGAAACACTGGTAAGAGAAAAATATATGCAAGCGCGAGGCCATAACCACGCGAATTCGTGAAACGTTATACTATGGCTTTGATTTATCCCTACGATGATTGTAGTCATTCATACCCATAGATGTCCCACCAAGCCCGCAGGCACGCAAAGTGTGATTGAAAACAGCTCAAGAGTGATACCTCTAACCCGTAACCGCCGACAACGGCACTCTGCAGATTCTGCCGTCGTCCTGACGACGGCGATACTGTAGTCATTCACACCGATAGAGGTACTACCAAGCCCGCAGGCCGGCAAAGTGCGATTGAAAAGAGCTCACAAGTGACACCTCTATCCTGTAACAGCCGACAACGGCCCTCCGCAGATTCTGCCGTCGTCACGACGGCGGTTGTCATAACGGCGGCCGCGACACGCGACGCGATACTTCTTGCGGACTCTGGCTAAACTCTGGGCTATCATGAGGAGTGTCGTGCTGTTACAAAGCCATGTCAGCGTAATTTGGATTCAAATGCAATACAAATTTACATTCTTATTACATCTTGATGGCGCAGTGGTGACGCCACCCAGTGTTATGGTAAGACGTAAATGGTCCTGAGGTTTCACCAAAGTATATTTCTGAAGTGTTCCAAATGTGGAACACCCCCATTAACCCGACAGCAGCGCTCCAACGTGAACAGCAACGTGCAGCGTCCATCACACATGCAAGATACCCCACCGCACACTCCAGAGTCCCCTACGTCGGGCGAGTTCGGGAGTCGCAACCCACAGCCATAGTGCTTGGAGCACCGTGCGGACCGTCTTGCCTCCGGGGCGCGTCATTGGCCGCCGTTGGGCGCGCTGCAACCGGTCACGTGTGGAAAGCGTCGGCACTGATCCCAGGGGCAGCGCGTGACTGTTCAATGTTCTCTGTTCAAGTTCAACGCACTCTGAGGGCTGGGCGCAGGCAGCTCGCCAATTTTCTTCAGGAGGGCAATGCAAAATTTTCTCCAAACTCTGCGAATTTGGACCGAACTCATGTAAAAGAGCCCAACTATTACGTGTCAACCTCTTGGTTCATGGGCCCTTGCCACGCGCCCCACTCCCTCACCGGCTACGTCCATGCATACGCATTACTTGACAGGCTAGCGAACTGATCCATACCTAGATACACAACGCAGGTGATTCCCCGGTTGTCCGGGGCAATGCCGGGACGGGGAGTCCTCTATGGCGTGGCGATGATGTCAGGCAAAGCAGCCAGAGCGGGGGCAGGGGGGGGGGGCTGTCCTGGGTCACGTGTAGAGGGGCTATCCTGGGTAACAGACATGTTCCGGGTGGAACGTTCGAGCGATGCTGCGCTTCGCTTGTAACAATGTTTGAAACCGTACGAATCATTTAGTTTTTGCACGAACCTCTCGCACACCATACAAAGATACGCTGTTGCCCCTTTCCGACATCCGCCGCTCCACTTGTCAGTAATTGGTGGAACGTTCCCCGTCCTTTTTACAATGCCAACCTGGTTGGGCACCCCGGACATTCAGGTCAGATTGGGTGACACCGCGAGAACTGTACGACGCGCATACCTGCCACCCCAGTGCAGCAACGCGGGTCAAGTGCATGGGCACCCCCTACAAATTTTAAGGTTAGGGAGTGGATCTGTCACGGGGTGCTAAAAGCACGGAGGGAGGGTTAAAAGAGAAGGGGACATCTGTTTTTCTTCCACCAAACACCTGAACCGCTTTACACTATAACTCGCATGTGTGTCGGTGGGAGCCTTGAGCAATAAAACCAACCCGCGTTAGGTACCACGCAAAGTCTTTGCTCACTTTCCACCCATAGTAAACAATTTGTTCTAATGTGTTCAACGCAGGAGTGACAAAAATCTGAGCAAAACGTGCCTGCTCTAAGCACCCATCAAGATTCTGGGTGACTACTTTTGACTGGAAAATTATAGGCCTCATTATCAACTTGTATGCACGAGACACATCAGTTACAGGTTCTTCCCGCACCAGATTTCATAACACACCATTTTAAAATTGATCAACCCGGAACAGGCCGTGTTAACTGCACAATCTTTCAACCACTAAAACTGATGCCAAAAACGTAAACAGGAAACAAATCTCTGCATGCTGCGATACCGCGCAATCAATGACATTGGCAGTGTTACCACACGAAAATGTCTTCACGGAAACTGTGCCACTCGGGGCGTCATCGTTCGGCGGACACCTGAATGAGACAATCGCCCGATTACAGCAAACGTCGACCGAACACAACATGATACGTACCGTGTCATCCGAAGACAGCATGTCGCCACTGAGCTTTCGAATCCGCAGCTTCGGTCGGCTTTGCTGCTCCTGCTCAAACTGGTCGAAGTCGTTCATCAGCGATTCCAAATCGTCGGTCATCGAATTGAGGCCCTCCGTGGCCCTCGCGTCGGACTCGGCGCTAAACACGTCCAGCGGCTCCTGCTTCACAGCAATGGCCGAGATGTTCGCTGCGGCCGCGCCAGGCTCGCTTTTCGAGCCCATGGATTGCAGCCTCAGCGCTCTCGCCAGCTTCAAAGTGACCTGGTAGCCAAACTCGGACGTGTCGCTAGGTTCGGCCGACTTCAGCTCTTGCAGCGTTAGAGCGAGAGGGGGCACCTCAATAGGGCTCTCTTCGCCTTCCTCCTGAAACTCTGAACCCTCAGCATCCGATTCAATGTCGTTCTTTTTCTCCTCCTCTTCCTTTTCCACCTCCTGTGAGACTTGGTCCTCGGATTTCGCGCGCTCTAGAAGACGTTGCTTTCGCATGATCTCGAGATATTCCATCGGCGTTTCTTCTGGATTCTCCAGTTTGGCCATGAATTTGCTGCAATCCTGACGGGCTGCCAGAGCGAGCCTGTCGACATGTCGCGCCAGTAGAGCGTCCATGTCCGCCTTGCGCGACTGCTTCAAATTCGATTCCTCGTTTAACCACTCTTCCCCCACCACAAACACGTCCATGTCCTGAATCGGGGGCGGCTGGGCAGCCGCCCTCTTCTCATCCTCAGCTTTCCTTCGCTTTAAAGCATCGCTTACTTTTTTGCTGATGTCAATGGGAGGCCCCTTTGTTGACATGTTGACTTTGGCGTATGCCAAACTTCCTGCGTGGCAGTCATTCATGTGCTTCTTGACATTTCGCTCATGGAGCTGAACAAAACCACAGAGTTTGCAGGCATACCCATAGACCCATCCGTTTCCGATATCCACTTCTTCAATCGCTATGTTGTCCATCTGACACCCTTTGTGCACGTTGGCCATATGAACCTTGAGGAAATACATGCGGAACACTCGGTACCCACAGTACCGGCACGAGTATCTATATTCGCCCGTGTGCGAGCTGATATGATCAAACATTTCGTGAGTGCTCACGCTCTTGACCTTGCAAAATCTGCATTTGATCGAATACTGCTCGGGAGCAGAGGTCCCCGTCTGAAGATGGTCAGCGATGTGCTGCAGCATGTGGCGCTTGTTCAGAGCGGTAAATTTGCAGTACAGACAAGCGACGCTGTCATCGAACATGAGGGACGGTGGTATCCAGCTGAGATCGTCATTCATGAGCTTATTTTCTAGTTCCTGGCTCAGTGGAGCTCTCGCGGAATCATCACTTGGACCAAGTTCTTCCCCCAAAGTCGTCTCCAATGCCTCTTTGTTCAGCCTGACCGATATGGGTTTTCCAGGGTGGGAAACTACGTAATGGCGAATGACCTTCTTCCCACTGTATGGACAGTACTCACACTCGTCTGGTTCTATCCGCGGTTCCTTTTCGTTCTTTTTTACTACTTCCTCTGGAACAGGCATGCTACTCTTGACGTTAGAATCCGTGCTGGCCACAGGTGCCTCAACATCCGGGGACAAGACATCAGTCACATCTGTTGTGGAAGTTTCAGCCAGATTATTACCCAATGTGTCCGACCCAGTAGTTTCATCCACTTTCACTTCTGATTTGTTGGCCATGGCAGCTCTTTCCGCGTTTGTCCTCGCTCTGGTCAACAACAGCACTGGTTTCTTAGCAAGAACATTGGTAACGTCATCCGCTTTATCCGAAGCTTCTGACCTCCCAACTTGACACCGTTCTTCTTCGGACTCCTCTTCTGACAAGTTTTGGTCTTGTACCGCTGGCATGTTTTCGCGCACCTCTTCTTTCCCCTTGGTGCGCTCTGCAGCCTTACCCAGCCTTCGTGATGACCTCCGTTCTTTGGGGGCCTCCACTTGTTCAGTTTCCTCCGCGACATCACCGTCGCTTCTTTCGGGCCGTTCCTGCTCAGTCTGAACATGAACACCGCTAGCTTTTGAAACCGTCGATTTCCCCGCCTCCGACTCAGAATCGCTGTCGGACATCACAACCAGGCGAGTCCGCTTCCTTTTTTTCTTGCCAAGTAAGTCATCCGTGTCTACCGTAGAAGATACAGTATCTTCCTGGTGGCACGTCATTGGCTGCTTCTCATCCATCCCTGACTCAGTCTTGTCCAGGGGCTCAGGGTCCTCCTTCGCTGCTACTGATTCTTCAACAGAATCTGGGCGCTTAAGCTTGGGAATCTTGAAGCTTCCCAGAGAAGCCGCTTTGTGGGACGATTGGGGCACTGTGGCGGGTTTGGACACCGGTTTCTGAAGAATGAGAGGCATGTTGTTTCGAGCCGGTTTTTCCAATTGTTTGCGTTTATCTCTTTCCTCTTTATGTCTCCTCAAGATTTCCAACTCCTTTTCTAGTTTTTGCTTTTTCTGTTCTTCAAGCGTCATCTTGGCAGCACGTCTAGGATCATCTTTGCTCGGCAGGTGTTTCGCTGCCTGGCCTGGCTGGGCGTCGTATGGGTTGTAAAAATTATGCTTCCCGGGCGGTGGTCTTGCCGGGGCTTGATTCCTTGGGCCCCCGCCATGCTGTGGAAACCTGGGGTGATGGTGCAGAAGTCCAAGCTGAGACGCGTGTTGTGGGCTATACCCAAGCAGACCCGGGGCTGGCGGCCTTGGACCGAATCCCATCCCGGCCACGTGAGGTGGACGCAGGCTTCGGACACCGTGCACATGACTCGGGTACTGCTGCTGCTGATAACCCATGGGGGGTTGAGGCTGTCGCGGGTACTGGATTGTGGGACTGACAGGCGCAGGCTGAGACTGAATGTTTTGACGCTTCGCGTATTGGTCTTCACGGGCGTTCATATCCTGCTCGTATGTCCGCTTTGCTTCTTTGAAGATGGCATCCGCACATGGAGCAATCTTGACACCTTTACCATGCACTGTTTTTTCAGCAAGCTCTTGTTTGGCGCGCTTCGCTTCCGCGTGATCTACTAACTGCGCATATGCTATTCCTGTACACGCGAATGAAAAATCTACTTCTAAGACCAATTCAACCATGCCGAAGCCCTGAAAGAAACGAAAAATGTCCTGCCGCAGGGTCTTAGGTGGAAGGTTACGGATGAGCAAACATCTGTAAGTCGCATCAAGATCATTCACGGGCACATCCTTCTTAGCCACAGGGCTCATGGTCTGCTGAACAGTCTTCATAAGATCTTGCACGGAGTACTTCTTCAGCTGCTCACTGACTTTCTCCAATGTTGGATCTATCTTCTTTGCTGACTCTTTCGACATGGTAGATTTCATTCTCGGATCCTTCGACAGACCGGCCTTCGACGTACCTTCTCCAGCGGCATCTATCACTGAAGACGTTTTCGACCTGTCCATATCCTTACCACTGACATTTTTCACACCTGCACCTGACTTGGAAGGGGACTTGGATTTCGAACTGACTTCAAGTCTGTGAGACGATGCATGATCCCCAGACTGATGCCTTTTATGGGCATGGCTAGATGATTTGGCGGGGTCGTGATGAGTTCTACTATGGCTAGAATGCTTCATTTCGGCTTTCTGTTTCTTTCTTCGTTCTCGACATTTCTCGATTTCAGCCCTTTTCCAGTCTTCAAACTGACGACGTTGAGCCTCGGCCAGGGTTTCACCTTTTTTAACAACCCTGTTTTTGGTTGTAGAATGCCCGCGCTCTTCACTTCTACTTCCACCTGTTTTTTCACGTCGATCTCCGTCCGCCTTGCCTCCTGCTTCCCAACGCCGCTCACTAAATGTCCTGTGACTTTCAGGCGCTTGGCGTTCCGCTTCTTGCGACCTGACCTTTTCCGAAGATGTTCCTGTGCCGAGATCCCTGTTCAACTCCTCTAAGTCTTCTTTGGACAGAGGGGGTTTTACCATGAACGAAGGCATAAAGGCTGGTTTCTTCCTCAGCTCACCCCACTCGTCTTCGGGGTTGTAAGCATCCCCGTGGTCGGACGCATCCGACACCACAGCACTGTGTGAGACTGCAGGCCGGTTGCTCGAATTGGATCCCGCCACGCAATCTTCCTCATCATCAGCAGGAGGTTCAGTGTCAGGAGTTTCACTGCTGGTGCGTTCTAAGGGAATGATCTTCGGTCCTTTTGACTGTGAATCCATCTCCGAAGGACTTTCAACCCCAGTTTCGTCTAAGGTTTTAGACATGCCAACCATTAGTTTTCTGAGAATTTCCCGACCCCTTTCGAACTTCTTGTCCTCGCGATCACCACCCGCGAACGCCCCGGGTATCTGTGCAACAACTTCCGGACTTGGGCTTCGTGGCTGATCCATGTCATTGAAGTTCGTCGGCGATGACATACTAATCCGCTCCACAAAGGAGCTAAGCGGCGGACTATGTGTCGGAATGTCGTCTACCGGCCTGCCGAAAAAAACAGCAATTAGTGAACAGACTTTGCAGTGGAACTGAAAACACCATTGAATCATACTAAATCGATAATTAATGCATTCACCACTTTAAAAAATTACAGGATACATTTCATAATGTAATGGGACAACGTCCCATAAGCATAGCATAAACATGTAATAAGCATAAACCTGGCATTAATATTTGATGAACAATGTTGCAAATTCCACCCTACACTTAATCTCAGACGAGGAAATGCGGGACCATGATGCTACTGATCATGCTACCCTCTTCCCAGCAATTCTAGGTCACCATTCCCGGTGATAAAAAACATAAAAAACCGACACAGGCAAGCAAATACGCCGAGCCCCAATTCAACAAAGTTGGGAGACATAAAAACTCGCTAACGTTGGGAGACATAAAAACTCGCTAACGCCTGACCCACGTCTCCCAGTCGACCGTTTCAAATCTATCCACCATACCGGAGATGGGCTGAAGACCCCTGAGATGTGAAATTATTTCCACGCTACAAAGAACATAAAAATGGCGCTCGCTACACCAAGCATCCCCGTGGTCAGACGCATCCGCATTACGCATGAAAAAAGCCTTCGCTACACCGAATTCAGCATGCAACGCTGATACATTTTAACCCACAATGAGGCAACCTTCGTCCGAATAGAACTTTAAGGAGTCCACAGCGCTTTTCTCCTCCGTAATACAACACCCATCAAGATGCATTTGCGCTTCACGAGCAGAAAGGTCAGCCCAGCCCCAAACGAGTATGGTCAAACTCAGACAACTGGGGAGGACGGATGCCCCCAAGAGGTTAGCTAAGCCCGGACAGCCAGAAATGACGTGCCCGGATTACAACGTTCTTAAGTCATCCAGTGATGTGTGTAGGATGTAAATTAACTCCAAGTCAAACTGAAGACACCAAAGAAAAATGAAGCCGCTGCTATCTACAACCCTAACCCAACAACAAATTTCCGGCATGGCTAATCACTTCACCGGTACGTCTCGCAGTCTTTCATGTGGCACGGCTTCCACAACACACCATCAATACGCTAGCAATCAACAAAAACGACTTCACGCAAACCTCATGCCGGATGAGCTCGGTGTTGAGTTTTGCGTGTCCCGCGGTGGAGATGGACGTTCCCATTCGGATTCCGGATACAACAGGTGTCTTGGTGGTTCTGGTGGCCGAGGTACTTCCATGACGTCGTCGTCTGATTCCTACACGAAAACATCAGAAATCAAGCAGCAATTTAAGGCAACCCAAAGTTTCCTCCGCACCAACAGCACTCGGAGAGCACCAAAAGCAAGAGCGAATGGGTGTACCTGAGGATTTACCGGTTGCATTGGTCTTAGAACGAGTGGAAAATTGTGATAAGATACAACCATTTAACCAAAACAGGTTCCTAAGAACAGATATATCGCCACTTCGCCTTTCTCAGCCATAAGGGTATGTATAATAAAACCATCGCTGAGGAATACCCAGACTAAGACCTTTATACATGAGCAAAGACGCGTTTCAGCAGCGAAAGAAGAAACCAACGGAAAACCCACAAATGGCAACCAATTAGTATACACAGCGTTTGAAACGGTCTTGGTGGACAAAGTCCCTCACGATAAACTGAGTGGCACACCCCTAGCAGCTGTAGTTTTGTCACTACCTGCCCCCCCCCCGCAGTCTACGGTACACGTAAAAGTGCATCCGCAAAGTGTGATATGCATCTTACCCCTTCTATCTTGTCATGCAGCTTTTGTAATACTTCCTCGCACTTCACCAACAGTTCGTACTTCAGCCTGAAAACACATGGATGTCGCAGGTTGTTAGGTTCAGACAGTTAACATCCTCATTCATTGGCAGAACAACGAGAGTACAAACCACCAAGAAATGGTGCACGCAACACAAGGTAGCATAGCAATCAGATATTATAAAGAGCGGTGCTCTGCAACTGTAACCGAGGAACAGAATGCCTTTAGAACGGTGCCATAAGCACACACTATCTCATGAAGGCCGCTTGAATTTATTGCTTGCGCTAGCGCCCATCGTTTGGCCATCTAGCACCAATTTGTGAGCGTGCATGGATAGTAAGAAAGGCACACTGACGTCAAATATTAATGATGTCGTCAGAGCACATCCCATCATATATGTGCATACCATTTGAAGCGCGGCGTTCCGGTGCCACACTGCATAGGTTACTACTTACTTCCGGGAGCTGTCGGTCAAAATTCCGAGCAAATGCTTCATCTTCTGCAACTGCGCAGCCCTCGCTGGGTCGTGCGTACGTTCCAACTTCGTTATCATCTTCCGCAGGAAGGGTAGATAGCGCTGAAGTTTCTCAAGCTTCTGCTCGTACGGTTGACTGGAACCTTAAAGATTGATCAGCAGCTATCGATTAAAAACCGTTCACTAGAGCAAAAATTCACGAAATTAAATGCCTGTTGATGCAGATCAGACCAGGCGATACAGCAGATTGGCTAGCCCCAGGTATCAACGGTGGCGTCCATCACTAAGATGGTACCGTGCTATAACAAGTAAAAGCACCCTTACGATGCCAGTCAGAAAAGCACAAAAACGAGCTACGAACTTACCTTGAAAGCTACTCATCGTGAAGTTGTTGATCAATCGACGGACGTGATTACAACGTCCTGCAAGTAGAGTAAGTATGTTAACAACACATGCGCGAAAGGTCAATTTCACATCGACCACTCGCGAAACTGGGTACCTCATATGTATAGAAAAAAGTCCGTGATTTTAAAATAAACCTGCATTCATAGCAAAAAAGGCAAGGTTCGGAGGCATATGCGGCATATACATATCGCGACAATTTACCAATCCCACACACACAGTGCAAAATGGTAAAACAACACAGCTCCATGGTAATACTGAACTTGTTGTCATCTGACTGTTAAAGTGGCGTAGTGCATCATGAAACCAGTCAAAGAAGTACAGAGAACAAAGACGACTTAACGGTTTTGAACACAATGTCATTTACTTTGACAAAAAAGAGTGGGTTCACACGGTTTTTTTCACAGAACCAGTCGAGGGCGAGGATAATCTCCCCCGCCCCAGAGACCAGTCCACATTTTGGTGTCATCAGCTGATTGTCAAGCACTTACCAAAAATATGTGTTTCCAAGACCCCCATATATCATGAACACGATGGTTATGCGTACATCAGGGGGTTACCATTTCAACGGCGGGTTTCGATCATCTATGCGGTATATTTTAAGCCTATAAACCTATTTAAGCCTAAGTTGTTCATCAGAGTTCATAACCACTGAAGGTCACCAAGTCCTACATGGCTTCGAATGGCCCGTACACCTGATCACATTTCGCCAGATACAAGCCCATGAGCAATTTTGCTGCACCTGAGCAAAAAGTAATCTGGAAATATGTCCCGCGACACTTAATTCGGTTACCTTAAACTTCAAACTCGCATGGCCCCACCTTCACCTGACCCCTTCGAGTTGACCACACCATGGCCTCAGAGACCTATGAGCAGCTTTTGGGAGGATACTAGGCTCTCCGAACGTGTAAATATTTCCGACCCCACGATGGATTCCCGAGACAGGTTTCGGGGATCAGGGGGTTGGATCTAACCCTTCCGTCCCCGTCCCCCCCCCCTCCCCCACGCAGTCCTGGACTGCACATGATTACCACAAACTCCTTAACGAAAATCGAGTGTTTGTTATTGAGCATGTATGGAACACGACGCAATGCTCATAAGGACACTTCAATGGTTTGTTATATTTCCCTTCCCAACACATTTAATACGTAAGATCCAAGGTTATTGTCACCGCGTTGTTATTTCGCCTAATAGTCCAGCTATTTTTCGGCTTTCGGCTTTAGTATAGGGTGTCAAAAGCCAAATCTATAGTCATCGTTAAACGGCGACTTGGATGGAGCCTGCTACCCCCGCTCAGTAGAATTATCACTACTCTTCCCGGAGCACTAGAAGTTAAGTAGAGTGGAATACATTATCAATGTATTTTATCATCACATCAAGTGGAAATAAGCCTGCCAGAAATGCACCTAGTCATTGACCAACTGTGTGCTCAACTGGGGTGCCGGTAGCTTCGTGGTTAGGTCGCGTATGTTGAAAACAAGAGGTGCGGACGATTCCACGCGGAACCGACTTTCGTGCCACTGTGAGAGGCAGGCGACGCGATGAGGCCTCAGCTGCTGAGTGCGTCATAAAGCCTCCATGACCACGACTAAGTGACAAACTCCTGTTCATTTAAACCGCAGCAATCACGTGTATCACAGCCCAAAATGTTGTTCTTTAGCTTAGCAAACAACAGAAGATCAGCGCATATGTCATGCGAACAACATATCTTAAAAGGACGAACCATTTCGGTGCAGTCCACGCCCAGGGGGCGTCATTTCGTAAAAAAGGTAGAGGGGGCTGTGCAATGAAAAATGACTCAAAATCAATCTCTCCGTAACAGGCCACACACGGACTTCTTCCGGATTTGGCCCACTTTCTTCCCAAAGCAGGGGGGGGGGGGGGGCTGGAGCCCAACTAAGAAGCAAACTACACCCCCATCCACGTCATCTGACTGAATTGACTACGTAAGACTAGGGAAGGCAGTTCAGGAGACATGTGTCCCGGTGGGCATTCTGGGGGTGGCGTGACAGTGGTGAACCGTACTGGGTGGAAAAGACAATTCGTGGAGATGGGTGCCCGATATCCCACAACCAGTCCTATATACATGCCCTCTTGAAACCAGTGGGCTGTGCTGTGTTGTGGACAAGTTACGCACAATCACATACACCTCATTCTATGCTATAGCTTAAGTCTTTATCGCCCCCTTAGTAATCCACTATTTTTTGGTTTTGTTTCTTGGTAGGCATGAGGTGTCTTATTGCCCTTCATTAAAAAAACCGTGGTTGTCCGGCTGAGGCTTTGCTCGGTACTGCGTTATTCCTTGGAGTAAAACCTTGGCGCCAATGCGCCCCTTCGACGCCTGAACTCGTCAATTAGACCAGGAACTCCGCAGCAGCTTCAAGGTTCTCTCTAGCCGACATGATTCTCTTCGAAGACGACCCACCCTTGCTGGGCTCAGGGGTCAACCACCTGGGTACACGAAATTTCTAGCGTTATTCGCACTAACCATGAACCACGTGAAAGAATCCCATACTCCGTCAGATGTGAGGACACCACTTGATATACGCCACGGAAACGACTTTTGCAGGCCTTATTCCTTAAAAAAGATGTGGGGTTTCTGTTCAGCATCTATACTGTTATAGTACGATTAGGGGGAGGCCCCGACCCGGCTTTCTATCCGAGCATCCATTCTGTCTAACGGCGTGGAAAGTACAACGCTCATCTATCCATATCAGCGGTGCAGAGTCCTGGCACCTCCAGGGATCGTAACAGCGTGGTAAATCATGAGTGACCATTTGACGTCCAAAACAAAGTTTAACCCCACCCCCTTCCACCGAATAAGGTTCGGTAAAAATTTTGCGCCTCGTCTGGATTCATCAGCGATGCTACATTGTGGATAAGCCCCTTGGGACATTCCGTCCCCCAGTCCATCTGAGCTGTTCTGTTCATGGCTATGTTCAGGTTTGTCCAGATTTGATTCATATGTCCAGACACTCCATTCATTAAAACTACCTGACAAGGTCCGTCGCGTAGGATAATGCCCTCAAAACTTGCCGACATCCCGACTCCAAACCCTCCTCTACGATTTTTCATACCAGTCAGTGCTACCCACTTCCCCGCCCGCACTCGACGACCGTCGTGGTCACTGGGCTTTAGGACACACCCAGCTGCTGACATTATACGGCGTCGCCAGCCTCTCATCTTCGCAGGACAGGTGGACACCGCGGGGAATCCAACTCCATGCCTCCAGTTTCCCAGAGGCATACGATGATGCCTCACGATGACGCACGCATGGCATTCGACGATCGATCGCAGCATGTATGCCATAACGGATCACCGCATGACCTAACGGATGGCATGCATTTACCCATGAAAATACACAATGCAACGCATACAAGCATATGTCATCAGTTAGGCAAAAGCAGATTTCTCCAATATGGCTGCGGAGACTGCACCAGTGCTGCCCTTCACGGCGCCAACCGAAACAATGGCCGCCCGACGCCCAGCAGGCCGTTGTGCGGGTACATCAGGATGACGTCTTCTCCTCTAATATCAAGCCATATTTCAGTTCGATTTCTTAGCCCGTACCTGGAGAACACCTTCAGCGATGTCTGGATGCAAGCAGATCACCTTCGTCGTTCTCCTGGACGACAGGACACCATTTCTCGTCAGTCACCATTCTGGACCAGCTACCACAAATGCGCAGCGGAGGCGATCGTACATCTCTTCAGCGGAAAGCTAGTTTCCAAAGCACAACAAATCTGTTTCTTCAGTTTCTGACGAAACTTCCAGTTCAGCTTTCTTCACCTCCTCTTAATGTTGCACCATACGCCACTCTCTGTCTTCGGAAATTCTTTCCCCGATCGTTGCCACACATACCCACCCGCCCGCTCACTCCAACACTCCCCTGCATCCGTGCCTGCGGCGTGAACGCCATTCGCTGTGCTCCACCAACGGGCGCATGCGCAATAAGCTCAAAGTAATGGCGGCGCCCAGTGGCAAGGGGGGGGGAACACGAGTGTGGAATGGTGAGAGTGCTCGTATGATACCAGTGGAGCGTTGGTGGGGCTGTGCACGTTAGAAGTTTCCTGCTGTGAAGGAAACTAACAGCAATTCATTTTGCGGATTCCCGCACGATGGGTAAGGTCTGAGGGAGGAACGGATTGTGACTGCTCTGCTGTATGTGATGTAGGGATGCAAGTGCCTGCCCAGCCGTATAGGTCCCCAGCTGGTTAATGGGTGGCTACCTCAACTGTCATCAATGTTTTTGTAACCCATGTAACCCACAACCCATTTTGTAACCAATTTTGTAACCCATGTAAGCAGAGCACAATGCAAAGACTGTTCTCCTCAGGGGTTTGTAGCTTGGAACATTGGTACTGCTTTGTAAGAAAGTTGCTTATGTAGTTCCAACTATACAGTAACTCAAACTTGGGTAGACCAAGGTAAGGCTGCTGATGTTTGTGAGCTGTCTTGTGTAATTATTGAGTAAAGGCCAGCATGCTATACAAGCTTGCACAGTTGTGCCAGCAATTATTATGGTGTGCTTCAAAAATTATGATAACATGAATGAGCTACTATGGTGGGCTTGAAAAAGAAGCTTAGTGTATGCTAGCTGGTTCAGGCTAATTTCTTTTTTTTCTTCTTTCTGTGGAAGGTTAGGTTTTTATGGTATAACATTAATGTTAATGTCACAATTGTGAAGAGCTTAAGGTGGTCTCCATTAGGCCTTCTATATTCCAGCAAAAACATGTTAGATATCTGTAATATTTCTAATGCCATGAACCTCTAAGACTTTTCCCTTTCAGACCCTCTTTAAAAGCCAATAATCCTTGTGAAAAGTTATATCCCAAACTGGTATGCATTGCTACAAATATGTCCTTACAGATGTTTATGGGCTGCTTGATGATACCCCTAGGTTTGTGTGTTACATTCCTATTCTTAGCCCCATGTATTTTCAGCATGTCTTTCCCTCTCTGCACAGTCAGCATGGTTACCCTGTTCTCTGATGTTACCTGATATGTAGCATTGCTGCTGTCACAGGCGTTGGCCTTAGCTGTGGTCATCCCAGACAAGGGCAGAAGGCAAGCATCTGAAGTAAGCTACCACTAAACTGAACTGCTATAGTTGGTTAAAGTGAAAGGCAGGAGCTTTAACCAACTGGGCTATTGGGATTGACATATGTTCTGTGCCTATCTTGGGTCAAATGGAATCCAGGGCAGGTACCTCTGCATTGTCATGTTATGTGTACTGCTGTCATGTGCTAGTAGGTCATCTTCCATGTATAACTTAGGTGTTGCAATGCATCCAGTAGCAGAAGCTCTATGGTATTACGGGCATCTCACTTGAGCAGGAAGGGTGGGCACCAGGGGAATCAAACCAAAAATCTCTGGTCTTCCAGATACACAGCCTGACTGCAATACCATCAAAGCATCACTGCAACCTTCTGCAACATCAGGTGAACCATGTAAACACTCCAGAGGTTGTGGTTGAATCAGTTTTTGAATCGCATGCCTCTAAAGCAAAAGTGGAATTCTGATTGTCACAAAGAGTGATGTCATTTTACATGGCTGAAGCTATTTTTGGTGCTATCCTGTTTTTTGATGATCACTGTATGCCATCAGTTGTATGTACTGTTACAGCAGCATGAGCAAGATGTGTGGCATAGTTGCCATGATGGGTACATACATATATACACATCTAAACTTGTGCGCAGATCATGATCTGGAACTTGTCCCCATGCAATCATTGATAACATGCTACCACATAATACCAAGTGCACAATTCTGGATTTGCCATCCAGCAGACAGTTTAAATTAAGTTAAACATCATGCAAATAACCTTGACAGCAAATGAGCACCACCTGATCTCATTCAAATGAATGGGTAGTAGGTCATGCCCCAAATTTGAGTGAAAATATGTTGACAGTTTATTATGCAAACTGATGCTGCATTTTCAGTTGTCTTAGGCGTAGCTTAGAATGCACCCTTCCATGTACGCTGGTAACCTGCTACCATCCTACACCATGTGCCATCATGTAGAGTTAGCAACAAAGCATTTTGGCTATGAAAACTAAGTTGATGCAAAATGTCCTGGTTTTAGCCAGACTGCATCATTTACCTTACAACATACTTGAAATTTAACAGAATCATCATGGTATTTCTGACTGTTTCATAAAATGGACAGAGCAATGACTTTGAGGGCTGCAACTGTATGCAGCAGAAATTTCTGTGGGGTAGGTAGCCATTTTTGGTGGTTTCTTTTTAGTTAATGCCTATTGTGCCCACATTAAAGTTCAGAAAACTATGGGAATACCCCAGCTCTCTCCGTAGATCTGATGTTCCTGAACGGCCCTCCCCCTCCCCCTATCCCCAGCACTTTCCATGGTTTTGATGGTCCTGATGGCAGCATGTTTTAAAGCTGGCAGATGATTTGGAAGCATTTGGGGTGTACAAAGGCAATAGTAACTATGACCTGCTGCTAACTGATGTAAGCAAATTCAGTGAGTTGTCTGCAGCATGACAAATGAAATTCAACCAGCATTTGTGAAAGATCATTTGTGCAAGCGCATATCAATTGAGATGTGATCATTCAAGCTGTGGTAAAAGTGTCTAGATATTATTTTTAATGGTGAGTTAACAACATCACATCAGAACATAGAGGCAGGGCTAAAACACTTCAGATATTTGGGACCATTACTAAGTATGCAGCATATGATTTGGAAGGATTCATTATAAGAAGCTGTGCTTTGCATAGGTGAGGTCATCTTTGGACATGTAATTGGTCCATGCCTGTGCACCAACTTATCAAATAAGTTGTTGGATTTTACATGAGGGGTTTGATAAGGGGAACTAGAGCAGTACATGGAAGACATCACCATTGGTTAAGATTAAACTGCATCAGTATTGTTTTGCGGCATCATTGTCACAGCAACATGGAAACAAATCATTGAAGCAAACTGGGTTATGAATCAATCAAAATAAGCTCATTCATTTTTTCTTTTATTTAAACATGGTGCAGACAACATCTTCAAAGGACAGAAAAGGCCCTTTGGAATACAGGAAAAATGGAAGTGACTTCTGGTTATTTTAGGCAAGCAAACTAAATAAGGGGCGTGTCAAAATTTGATCAGCTGTGAGTCAAACAATGGCAGCTCAGTTCCTCAATATATGTATGTATCAAAACTATATCTGCTTTACTGGGTGGGAATGGTGCTACTTACAAGGGTTGCTGTGGCTCATTGTGCCATTTATGCCTGATGTTGTTTGGTCCTGCTTGTGTACATTGTATATCTACATCAAGTGACTAACAGGCTCATTAAGTACCAATTTTCACACTTGGTTGGTGTAGGCAGTGACCTGCTCCGCAGCTGCTAAGTAATGTCTGGCAGAGGTATCACGACATTTCCATCAACGTGGCTGTAGCCATAAAGCAAATGGCTGGCAGGGACTGGGGGTCTATCTTTAGTTGCTAGTTATGTATATCAACATCAATTTGATTCAGCTGAATAATTAGGTACGCGAAACATGAATCTGACGGGCTAAAGCGGTATTGATTCCGGAATCGGATTTGATTTTGCTAGAGTTAAGCACAAGCCTGGAGGCATGCAAAAATGAAATGCAACTGCTGTCTGTGTGCTTGCTATTGTTTGTTTTGTTTGGTTTGGTTTGGATTCTTTGTGAGTTGCTCATGTCTCGGATGTTTGGTTCTAGGGGGATCGGTGGATCGATGCTAACGTCTTCAGGAGATGTGGTCATATTCACGACACAACGATCAAATTCGGATTTGATTACGATGCCATTTGGCTCAGCCTTTCTCTGTGTTTGAGGGGCCCAAATGAGGTCAGACGGGCCTCTCGGGACCGAGGACCAATGGCCCGACTGGAATGCTAAAGGGCCCGAAGTGCCGGCTGCAGATCCCATGAAGAATCCCGATGCCAAGTGCGGTGACCTCAAATGTCAGTCAGAGGGCCTTTTGCACCGATTGTGGACCGCCTGGGCAATGCAGGCCTCTGTTTCGGCCAGAGACCACCAGCGCCTGAAAGTCGGCGCTGTGACGGTCCCGACCCTGGGTCCCGTTTCTTAAGCAGGGACAAGGCGGGGGCCCCTGATTGGTATTGATCGGAGTCTCACAACACAGAGGGGCCCCCTATGTCAGTCAGGGGCTCATAGTCGACAAGGTGCTTTTCAATGTTCCGTCCAGTGTCCGCAGTGTCCCTTTGTGAGTTAGCATGTTATAACTCCCGATATCATTATTGCTGTCCTATCAGCATGTGTATTATCCGCACGCACGTGTACGTACCTCTACTGATTGCAGTATTTTATCGTTAATTCATTGCGTTTCGAATATTGGAAACCATGCTTTGTTTTATTCATAAGTGTCTTTCTGCCCCTTTCTGTCTGCCATAAGCCTGCTTATCTTGCACGTGGATTGCGCGGTCACGTTGCACCAAGGATCTCTAAGGCCGTTCCGTTCATGAGTTGGTGAAAACAAGCCTGACACCAAAATCGCGTAAGCATGCATTGTTGCTCTATAAAACTATAACGTCATGCATAACTGAAAAAAATGGTGGTCCTGCAGTCCCTCATCCCGATTGCTGCGATACGGGTAACACAATATTTAGGCCGTTGCCTAATTTTAACTTTGGCTAGCACTCCGAAACATTATACGATGCTGGTCGCGTCATTTATCAAGGATTTATGCCTTTTCTTTTAAAATAGTCCTCAACTTATAGACGTCTCGCTCCTTACTTTATATCGTTGACCAATGTGATGTGATGATGTGAGTGTGTTGTGTTGACCAATGTGATGTCGAGCATTGCGGTCTCTGGGGGCGTAAGCGCCGAGTGGCTGGCGCCTTTGCCCTCCATGTGGGGATTAGAGTCCGAACCCGGTTGCGCCACGGCCCCTGTTTCACATGGCCCTCGCCCTCACGTTTCACATCGCTATGATTGCCTATGCAGTCGCTGGCTCTGCATAACGGGATCCACGACGATGTGCGTGGCTTTCTTTTTTTAAATAAGAGAGAGGCGCTGGTCCCAATATTCGCCTTTCCTGGCACGTCCAATTCATTTAAGGCGTACCCTGGCTGCCTACCTCTGCCGTCCAGACAGCGGTTTGCTGAGACACTCGGATGTTGATGACAGCCGGGCCTGAAGACTGCCAGCCCCTCGGTCAGATCGGGCGCCTGCGTGTTGCGCGGGAATGTTAGATGAGCTGTACAATTGCTCTCTTCCCCTGGTGTCGCCACGGCCAGCTTTCATTGGGTGCATGGACCGCTGCCGCGAAATATTGTCAAGCTGTTTCATGGTTTATTTACGAAAGGCAATTGTTAAACGGCCTTGCGCAGAACTTCATACGTTCCCTTACGTCATGCGTTTGCGGGCAACGGTTAAACGTTTGTGCGCTCTACCGGTATATTCACATGCAATTCAATGGCCACAAGCAGACGGTTGTCACCGCTGCTTGACATATCCCGTCCTAATGCTATTATTGTCGGCTTTACAAGGGCTCGCTCACACTTTGCGGGGTACCGCGGCGCGGCGCGTCGTTATAGTTCGTCTCGCGCCCGGGCGCGCCGTCCGGGCAGCTGCCGTCACGTCAAATCACAGATCAGCAGCGTCCGGTGGCCTCGGCACCGCAGGCCGGGGTGCCGCTAGCACCTGTACCGGTGCGTGCAGACAGGGCCTGCACCGCTTCACCACACATACCCGCATCTCGAAGGTTTTGACATACGCTACACAAGGCCGACAACGGTTGATACAGATGGCTCGTCGCCGGCCATGCCCGCCAGGCGGGAACTCCGCGCCTTTTAAACCCGACCACAGCTTCCCGCTGTCGGTTGGCCTTCCGCCTGTGTGAAGCGTTAGTGCATGTCCTATACGATTAGTACACTGTTTTCGTACGCAGTTTTGCAAGCGTACGATTTTCGTACTCAATTGTGCAAGCATTCTTATGGCGGTTCTGTTGCGAAATGAGTGTGCAGGTATAACACCGGCTTGGTTGCGTTTCTGCATCAGAATTGAATCGCCGCCTGCCACGAAATGAATGTTGGCCCGATAATTACTTAAACCGGTATGAATGTCATTCAAAACGCAAATTATGGAGTGAGGTGTCCAGGTTGTCTGAAGGCGAAGGCAACAATACGTACAAAACACAAGCACCATAACAACACATCGCATTCAGAGGACCAAAAACAAGTCGTTAAAGGTTTAACATTTCTCGTCACCGGCGACCGGACGCTTGCCAAGTGTCTAAAAAGCATACTCTATTGCACGCAGCACATCCGCGCCGCCTGGCGCGTGGTCCGCCTCCGTCCTGGTCCGCTCGTCGGCCGCCGTCCGCTTCGCGCGCCGGCGATGGCGGACGGCGTCGGCGCGGCGGCGCGCGGTTCAGGCACACTGTATCACATCGGGGGAATGGAGCCGCTCACAGGCACGTCTCTGTCGGCGAGCGCGTCTGGAAGAAGGTGGGCGCCGGGATACGGGACCTGCCGACCTCTCTCCGCGGTGTGACGCCGGCTGGCGGCGGCGGCGGCGGCGTCACGGCCGCTGGCGACGCCTTGTGCTGCCGCAGCAGCGCCTCCATCTTGCGCAGCAGCCGTTCGTCGCTGTCGATGTCTGGATCGTCGATGAGCTGCGCCAGGATGCCGCTGTACTTGCGGCGCGGTGGCGTGGGGCTGGCCGGCTGCGGTGGTGGCCGGCGGCGCGGCCCGGGCGAAGCGGACGTGGCGCGGCTGCGCGCCGCGGCGCCGGCCGACGGCGTGCGGAATGTGTCCGCGCCCAGCGCGGCGCGCTCGCGCGGCTGCCGGCCGCCGCCGCTCCACGTGTTCTTCCCGCAGCGGGCGAGGCGCGCCTCGCTGGCGCGGTTGGTGCGGAACGAGCCGCGCAGGCCGGCCTCGCTGCCGCCCGACATGCTGCGCTGCAGACCGCGCCGGCCACTGTCGGCCGACATCCGCCGGCCGGCCGCGCACGGCGCCGGCGGCGGCGGCGTGCACGGTGCGCACGGTGCGCTCGTCTTGGGCTGGCGCAGGATCTTGAGGCCGCGCAGCGCCGTGTCGATGAAGGAGCGGCGCGGCGGCTTGGGTGGCTCGGCGCCCGGCCAGGCGGGCGCGCCCGGCGCTGCCCGGCCCGTCGGCGACGCCGGCTGCTCCGGGTTCGTCTCGCCGGATTCGGTGGACGAGTGCGTCAGGCTCGACTCGGGACGGTCTGAAAGGCAGCGGACGATTACGGGGCGCCCACAGATGTCGGGCATGGGTGTGGCATAGATCAGTTATTGCTGTTATGTCACATACTAATTGTATATATTAACAGGATCCATTCAAGCTCACTACCTGTGGTTCACGAAATATTTGGCGTTCCGGGACCCTCGAAACGCCTTCACGAGTCAAGCGCAGCCATTGCCTCAAACAATGAAGTTCGTAAAGGGGTAGTCGCGAGGAAGCCCTGGGTGACACCTCTCGTTGATGACCTAGTTTGCGTCGAGTTAGCCAAAACCACGGACACGTTTTATCCCTTTGAGGACGCTTTTAGAAGCTTGTAACACCCCGCGCATGTCGAATGCCCTCGCCAGTATTCCTGAGAGCACGTTGGCATCCGTGTAAAACATGCCTCGTGGCTGACTGCTAACGAAGCGTTTGTTGCAGACATGCCTCATGGCTAACTGCCAAAGAAGCGTTCGTTGCAGGCAAGCCTCATGGCTGACTTCTAATGAAGCGTTCGTTGCAGACATGCCTCATGGCTGACTGCTAACGAAGCGTTCGTAACAGACATGCCACATGGCTGACTCGCGTGCGTTGCGGACATGCCTCATGGCTGACTGCTAACGAAGCGTTCGTTGCGGACATGCCTCGTGGCTGACTGCTAACGAAGCGTTCGTTGCAGACATGGCACATGGCTGACTCGCGTTCGTTGCGGACATGCCTCATGGCTGACTGCTAACGAAGCGTTCGTTGCAGACATGGCGGTCGAGGATGTATCGAGCGCCGACATGGCCCGCGCCAAGACGCTGCTAGACGACCTCTCCGACGGCATCGGTAAGACCAGCTCGCTGGTGGCCGCCCTGACCGCCAAGGTGAAGGACGGGCAGCTGGACACGGCGCATGGCCTCAGCTTCCTCGAGATGAAGAACTACCTGCTGCTGAGCTACCTGGCCGACCTGACGCAGGTTATGTCACTGAAGCTGCGCGGCCGCTCGATCGCCGGCGACGCCAGCGTCGACCGGCTGGTGGAGTTGCGCACCGTGCTGGAGCGCATCCGACCCATCGACCAGAAGCTGCGCTACCAGGTGGACAAGCTGGTGCGCATCGCCACCACCGGCCAGCTGGGCGAGGGCGACCCGCTGCGCTTCAAGCCGCAGCCGGGCAACCTAGCCAGCCGGCTGGACGACGAGGCGGGCAGCGGCAGCGACAGCGACGAGCCGGCGGCAGGTGCCGGCCGCCAGAAGTCCGACGGTGCTGCCCTCTACGTGCCGCCGCGCATCGCCGCCGTGCCGTACGACGGCGACGAGACGGCCGAGTCGCGTCGCGAGCGCCGCCTGGCGGCAGCGCGCCGCCGCGCGCTCAGCAGTTCGGTGATGCAGGAGCTGGGCCGCCAGTATCTGGACACGCCCGAGGAGGTGCACGACCTGAGCGACACGTACCGCAACCGCAGCACGCGCGAGGAGGCCGAGCGCACCAAGTACGAGGAGGACTTCATGGTGCGCCTACCGGAGACGAAGCAGGACCAGCGACGGCGGCGCGAGCTCACCACTGACTGGTCGCTGGGCGAGGAGCTGACGCAGCGCGCCGACCTCTCGGCGCTCGAGGGGCGCTTGCCCGGCCGCGGCAACAAGCGACGCCGCGCGGCCGCCGCTTCTAGCGCCGGACCCAAGCGCAGGAAAGGCAAGGGCAACAAGAAGCCCAGATTCAGTCTATAGTGGCGTAGGCGAGGCTGGTTTTCAATACACTGACGACGAGCGTTTTCTCCGTGTTCACCTGCGGATTGGTGACAGTTATTTTGTAAAAATGCGACGTGCTGCGTGGCTATCGAATCCCATATCTAGTTTCAGCGGGACGGCCCTGAGCAAGTGAAATGCCTCGCGCGCCCCGTGCCGTCGCGCGTGCGCCCAGCGCCGTCGGCGCGGAGTCGAGCACCTTGTCGTTACGTACCCATGTGCTCGGACTCCTTGAGCCCGGTGGCCAGCTTCCAGGGCCCCTGCGAGCGGTAGCCCTCGTCGGAGACCTCGGAGCTGGAGTCGCCCGACGCTTCCTCGTACAGCCGCTTGCCGGGCGGCGTGTGTGCGGAGCGGCGCTTGGGCGCTGGCGAGCTGCGGTGGCTGATGGGCGTCCGCGCCGCTGCCGTCGCCGGGCTGGAGGCGTCGGCGTCGCTGTCGTTCAGTCTGTCGGCCAGCCAAGCGTCAGCGCTCTGGTTTTGCTGTCGCTCTGCGCTGTCGTATCGTTCGTTAAGTCGGGGTGGGGGAGGGCATAGACATGCGCCGGCCAGAAAAGGTCAGTATCGTTCCGTTGTCCGGAAAGGAACGCCGTTTGTTTTGAAGCGTCGCCCTGGTCCCAGCTCCTTGTGCCGGCGTGGCGGGGATGGCAGCGGCCTGGGACCCGTCCCTGCTGCCCGCGCCCAGTCTGTCGATTGGGGGAGGGGACAGCAGAGCGCTGCACCCGTCCGCCCGCCCCCTGTTTATGGAGGACGGGCGGCAGCGTGCTACGCCCATCATCGTCACACTCGTTAGGTCGGCGCGGGAGCCTAGCGGGCTAAAAATGAACGTCCGCTGGGAGGATGTCTCTGACGCGCCCCACGCACCGCACTGACGCGACCGGCACCGTCTGTTTACACTCGCAGCATGGGTCGGTGGGGGAGCACACTTGGAGCGACGTGCTGAGCGAGCCGGCACTAATGCCCCGTCGATCGCTAACCATCAGCCCTTCGCTCTGGAACGGCAGCTATGCCTCGTCATCTCTGCTCACCCATCATTAGTGCCAGGATCAGTTACCTCCTCGCATTAGCGTGAGGGATATTAACTGCACCGGAGCTCATTTTGCACTCCACTCAGGACACAGGACATCTTGTGCCGCCTGCACGACCGTCCTAAATCGGAAGACGGGAATCTACCACACGCCACCCACTTGACACCCGATGCAGCTGCGGGCGCTACACGGTCGCCAGCACACCGGCGGCCTGGCCCCGACTGACCCGTCAGCGAACGGATGTCGCGGCCGGCGCCGCGCACTCACCGTTCGTATTTGACCCCGGACAGCTGGCGCTCGCCGTCGTGCGGCCCGCTCTTCATGAACAGCCTGGACGCGATCGCGGTGCGGTGCCCTGCCGACGGCGGGCATGTGACGTCACGCAGTGGCCGCGGTCGTCGTCCCGCTCCGTCCTCCGACGAGCCAGACCTGGGGTCGGCGTCCGGACCGCTGCGGGGCACGTGCGCCCCGGCCCGGCGGCCTGGTCGTCGCCGGGTCGGTGACCGCGGGCGGCGGCCACACATGCAGGTATTCACGCTCGTAATGGCCACCACATCCCGCGCTGTCATGATCCACACGGCGGGGCTGTCGGCCGCCCACTCGCCGACAGTGGGCATTAATTACCCTTTACACTTCACAGGCGTGATGTGGGCCGGGACCTTTCGCCAGCGAATAGACTCCAGTCCATATGACCCACCCCATAACCTGGCGCCGCTCAAAGCATAACGGCGCTGGTGAGCCCCACACATGCGGCGATTCCGCAGCCCATGTGTGAGTTTGCAGGCCGGACGAGGTCGCCGGAAAATAGAGCACGCCGTCCTCCACGCGGGATATGACGGGCGAATGCTGCCGGCGCGCCCCGGCTGCGCAGGGGGGGGGGGGGGGGCGGAGCCAGCCGGTAATCAATTCACGCTGCTGGCGAGCGGGTCTGTCCGCATGCGAGCGAGCACGCCCGTCCGCGAAACATGACATGTTTTACAGCCGCTGCATGCGAACGGGCACAAAGCCCGACGGTGGCCGCGCAAGAAATCAGCCTAATGAAACCGCTGTCGCTGTCGCGCGACCAACTGGAGCGCAGCCACTAAAAGATTAACCCACTGCGGCCAGCCTTTGTCCGGCTCTGCGTTTTCACCGCAAACGGTTCCCAGCCCGCCTGGCGAGGCCTCCCGGCCGTGCCGCGTCGCGTGGACGGGTCGGGGAGCTGGTACGCCGGCGGCCGATCTGCCGCTTCCTGCGCCTCGCGAGGGCTCACCTGCTTTGCACCGGCACGGGTCATGCTTGTCCAGGTAGTGCTCGAGCGTGTCCCAGCCGCCGCCGACCCGAACCATCACGTGGTTGCGCAAAATCTGGGGACGGGCGCGGTCATGAGCCGCGGCGAAATGCTGCCGTTCCCTGGCGATTCGCACGGGGCGCTGGCTGGCAATGCGCCGCGCTTCATGGCAGGTTCAGCGGCGTTGAGCGCGGCAGCTGTTTCACCACCGTTGTGCGACACGTCCGCAGAACACTTGACGGATGTGAATTTTCCCAGGAAAACGGCTGCCCTGCACTGGAGCGTGTTTGAAATGTTCATGTCATTCTGCATGGCAACTCCTTTAATTCCGGGTCCTTGGACCAAAGAATATGTGTATATGCTACACATATTGGATGCAGTCAAGCTCCATTGTCAGGACGCCGTTCACCTCCGAATGCACAGCCGAGTGTGGAAGGCCACACGGACACATATAAACGGACACATGGATACATATAAACGGACACATGGACACTTATGAAAATGTGCCTGGTAGCGCATCATGCAGAAGGTCTTAAAAAAACCGCCCGGCTCAAAAACTGGAAAAATCCCACATCCTGAACCAGAGTTGGATACAGGTGACGTACCACGGACAATAGCGAATCACAGACGCCGGTACTCCTGCATCCGTGACAGGTTCAACAATACGGGGGGAGGGTGATTGACGTTCTAGTCCACATACGATGCACCAGCCTGAAATCCCGAATCCTCGTCTCAGGAGTCCATGCGCGCACGTCATGCAGCTATCATTGTCACTTGTATTCGCTGCTCTTCACAACAGGACGAAGGCAAGTATCCTAGGTTTTGCGGAGCGCAAGTTCAAAACGCCTTAAAGGGATTGTACAGGATTCCTTACTGAAATGAAATGCAGTTTCACGCGTTTATTTCACCAGCAAATCAGTAACAGTTGTAGTGAAACTACGCCACTGCGTATGCAATCCATTACCTTGATGATTATTAGCGTTGGAACGTGTGTAGCAAAAGTATTTGTCAAGGAAAATCAGGAAATGCCACTTGACTTCATCATTCATTTAAGAGCGGATGACTTATTTTACATACTGCAGTAGTCGCCTATCTTCGTAAGACGAGCTGAAAAGGCTTCTTTTTACACGTTAGATACTACAAATGCGAAATTTGGTGTCACCATCTTAGAGATGGACAGCAGAGCGCCAAATGGTTCTGCAGAGCGTACCCTGGGACAGCAAAGTGTCAGATGGTTCTGCAGAAAGTACCCTGGAGCGTCACCGCGCGTTTTGGAACGATACTTCGTGCCGATGAAGCCACTTCCAGAAAATCCCGTTACCATTGGATTTCTTGATCTAGACCTTGATCTACCAGTTTCAGGAATAGCCCAGTGTCACAAAAAAGCATGCAATCCCGTTAAGACCGTTCATTACAATTACAATAAGCAGATGTCACCGACTCGTTTTGAAAGTTTTTTCCCCAGGGACAACTTGACGTTAACTAAGATCTAACGAAGCAAGGCTATCTGTTTTGTTGCAGCCGTAATGCCAACTGCCGGTTTTGTTCGGAAATCCCCTAATTCCTACTAAGACCGCAGCCCATTCCCATTCCTGCGCCATTGAGAACGCTGCAAAACAATGGCGCAACAGAAGATGTGAGGGAATGCTGTGACAGTAGCGATAATCTGCTTACAATAAGCACCTGGCGTTTTGTGGGCTGACGACTGGCGACCATGAACCCACAGGATGCCCGGCTCAGGTCGAATGTAAAGCTGCAGCCTCTCACTGGCAGCAGGCCCGTGGCACCTACATGGACCTACGCTCGTCAGAACGTGACAGTGCCTGCAAGGGAATGATGCCTACCGACTGCGACGCGCCACGTGAGGGAAGTACAGGGCTGCCAACACACCCATAACACAGGCCTCGCCTACCCCTGGATGACGAACCGTAACTCGCACTGTGCAAATTGTACTCCCGCGGGGCAAAATGACTCAAGATAGCACTCGCTGCCGCCAGCCTTGACGCTGCATTCCCACCAAAGATATGAGCCAGGGTTTCACGCCGCGGGGAACAGCGTCTCCCTGTCGTCCGACTGGGACGGCCCCAGCTGCAGCCGTCGGCGGCCCCAGCTGCAGCTCGACGGCGCCGTGGGCGGATTAAGGCCGTGTGACGGCGCACCTGCCCCGCCACGTCAGGCCTCCCCTCGCCAGCTGACCTCGGCGGGCGCGGCACTGACGCAGCGCTGGCACGCGCACTGGCAGACGTTCGGAACGGACGGTCGTGATGTCACCAATCACTGACCGAGTTGCGTGCGGCTCTCTGTCGTCATGTCTCGGCTCGGGACGGTGCCACCAGACTGATGCTTCTTGCTAGCTAATGACCATGTTGCGCAAGCGTGGGTACATCCGAGCGTTTGGTTGCGTTGCACCCAGGCATTGTACCCAAATAACAGTATCGGATGCTCATGACTATGTTTACGATCTGCCGCGCCCCAGCCGCTCACGGCGCGAGGACCTGAAGCAGCGAAACGTGCTTTCGCCGACGTCATGTACGCTCCCGAGTTAAAAGTCAACCCTGATCAGCTGTGCTGGTCACTGCACGCATGATTGTATTGTGTACCCCATACGATGCAGTCCGAACTCACTGTTCATCCGACTAGGAGCACACCCTGGCACCGATCTAGAGTTGACGTCACCCGGCTTCGGTATGCAGGGTCAACATAGCCAAGCCCATGGTTCTTGCACTGCTACCCGTGTCTGCATGACGCCCCCCCCCCCCCCCCCACCTCGCTGTGGTCTATGCTTCACAGCAGAAACAGGACCCTCCATGCGCGCCTCCCGTTGACTGGCGACGGGGTGCAGTGCATGCTACATTGACTGGCATACTGAGGTGGTATTGCAGCTGTGGGTCTGGTCTTCTGACGCCTCCTACAGTTGTGCTCTCATTAAGTCACATGCGAACAGCTCACGTTCGGTCCTAAGAATGCTGCTCGCTACCAGAGCGGCACTTGCTTTTGCGCAAGATGGCCTACTGTTACTGCCGGTCAAGACATCGATTGTTAGAGACCCGTAATATTGGGGAGTCGCTAAACCCCCCAGGGCCCATGGCCACTTGCCACACTCGCTCTGATCGACAAGGTGGATGAGGCGAGGTTAAGCGAGCACGACAGGAGAAGCAGCTTGAGGTGATGCAAAGCGGCCGGGCCGTGAGGCAACGCGAGCCGCGGTCAGTGGGACTCGGCCCACGGCCGCGCGGCGCCCGCGCCGCCGGCCACAATGGAAAGTGTGGACACCCGGCCGACGGCTCGGAACGCTTCCCACGGACCGAGCCGGCTCCGGTCCTCTACGGCCAGGGTTGACTGTTTACCGGCGCGGCTATGCGCGGTCGGCGCGCGGCGCGGCCATGGAGCGGGGCGCAGCGGGCGTCCACGCGCCCGCCGGCGCACGGGGCCCGCCCTTCCGGCTGTGCCGTTAGGCCGCCGCTGGCGGTCACGTCCGAAAATTCAGCGCCGGCTGCTGTGTCTGCCGCGGACGGTCCACTGGACTGTCGCGCGGCGTGGATTGAGCGGCCGGACGGCGCCGTCTGTCGCAACAGCGGCGCCGGCTGCCACGGGCCCGGCCACTCCAGCACTCCGCGCAGGAGTGGCCGGAGCCCGACAACCACCGCCGGTCGCCACGGGCCCGGCCACTCCAGCACTCCGCGCAGGAGTGGCCGGGGCCCGACAACCATCGCCGGCCGCCACGGGCCCGGCCACTCCAGCACTCCGCGCAGGAGTGGCCGGGGCCCGACAGCCACCGCCGGCCGCCACGGTTCCCACCCACGGCCGAAACGCGCTCCGATGGAAATGACACGATAACGCAACTCACACATCGTTTAACGTTGAGCCTTCGGCTTGCGAAACGCGTCCACGCACTGGCGTGGGCCCCGCCAGCCAGTGCGTCGGCCCGGGACTGGGCCGCACCGGCGCCATTCTGACCGCAGCGTTGCGAGGCGAACCCTGCGTGTTTCCGTAGCAGAGCGTGCATAGCGCCCGTTGTACAGGATAATGGGCGAACAAAGCGAGTGGTACACGCCGCCGAGTGTCCCGATGACAGCCTGCATGCCGTATAGAGCCGTGGCATGGATCAGGTTACGTGTTGAATGGTGGGCGACTTTCCCGTTCGGTTGACCGGTGACGCCCCGGACACGTGCCAGGGGTGAACCACCGACCGCCCCGTGTATTGGGCGCAGCACACGGACACAGCTGCAGGGCTGACCACGGCGGGCATGTCCCCGTGGCGTACATACGCACCGCCGGTGTGTTATGAGCACATGGCCTGGATACAGCAGGTCAGCACTGGTCAGGACGTGGCTGTCCACGGGCTGTATGTATAGCCGGCTATGTCCTCAGTTCACAGCACAGATGCAGCGCGACAGAACTGCCCAGGACAGGAGTGTCCCTGATAGGTGTGTGCCACCGGGTGTGTAGTCAGCACATGGTTTTGAGGGAGTAGGTTCGTACGATCAGGATGCCCCGTTCTCGCAGTGATGTACATCATCGGGTGTGCATCAAACTTAGAGCCGAGATACGGTCGGGGAAGGCATGCCCATTCCGGAAACGTAAAGATGTGATGTGCATCTCCACAAATGATCGCACGTCTCGGACAGAGCGGGGCAGGCCCTGCCAGGCCAGACCCTGAAGGGTCAGCCAGCTGAAATACGCCGAGACACTCCACTGTATGCGCTGAGCACCATTCGGGGTTGGGGGGGAGACTGCGGGAAGACGGCGTCGGACGTGATGTCCTCCCTGCCGACACCGCCGTCCGTCGGGCGCCGTGACCGCCGCTGACGCCGCTCCCCGAGGCCGGCCGCGCTGGACGCCGAGCCCGCTCACTCACCCGCACAAAGATGAGCGTCTTGGTGTCGCCGATGCGGTACTTGCCCTCGGAGACGCGGATCATGGGGAACTGGCTGGGGCAGGAGCACCGCTCCACCAGGTCGCGAACCTGCCGGCACGACGTGCAGAGTTAGCTGCGGTGGCGCGGGGCGACAGATCTGGCGCGGCGTGTCGCTGTGGCGCCGGGCAGATAGCGGACTCGTCGCGTCCGCGTCCGCGGCGGACGCTGATGATGAACGATAGGGCATCACGATGGCCTTCGACAAACGACCTGATACTGGACTGTCCTGGGGTGGCGACCCAGATGGTGACCGATACAAAGCTACGCTGGTCCTCGACCTCTACGCGTCGTTGCATTGTTTGACACCAAGACCGTTATCATTAAAGACTGCACCTTCAGCCCATCGCCTTTTGTTCACTGTGTTTCTGGACACGTTTTGATGTAACGGTAAGAACATCAATGACATCATCATTCAGGGATCGCCACAATCCGGACACCGCACTGTCAGATCAGCCTTTTATTGACTAACGAAGGGCTTAGACATGCACTGCGTTAAAATGTAACCAAAAACTGTGAAATTGTTGGAGCTCGACTAGAACATGCGGTTAATAGCGCTAATATCAGCAATATATGCATAAAGAGCAATCAACAAGCCCACCACATATCCCACATGCTTTCCCTGATAGTTTTCCAGCCATCAATTCCGACTGCCATCGTTCGTAACTCATTACCACGGCCTCTGAGGTCATCAACAGTATTTACTGAACCCGTGATATCATCAACAGATATTTAGTGAGCCAGGGGTCAATGCGGGTAAGTACCAATGGACGCGCCACCAGTGAGTACTAGCACGACTCGGGGTCACTTAGCGAGCCTGATATACCTACCTATCCTGGCATAGCAGACCCGCAAAACCAATCATTCATTCGCACGGCGTACTCGCATTGATGGGACGAAGTCACGCCTCAACATGCACGGCTCGAAGCAGGCAAGCACATCGGCTCAGAGGCCGCACGTGAGCGCCATCGCCCGAAGCCCACTCGAGTCGAAGTGGAGCGCAGCTCCTGCAGCGCCAGTCACTCCGCAGTCTCCGCGACCGCCGCAGCTCCGGCGGGAGCGCTGGGCCGGCACGGGTCTGCACGCGCCGGCCCCATTGTCCGACGGCCGCTCATCGGCGCGAGCATTGCCACACCGGCGGAGGGTTCACCGGTCAGCGCGTGGGGCCGGCGCCGCGCCCACGTGCGGCGCCGGCCGGCAGATCGCCGCCAGATACGGCCCGCGGACGCGACCTTGACGCCTCGGCAGACGCAGCTGCCACGCGAGCCGCCGGGGCCGCCGAGAAGCCGTTCCGACGCCGGTGCAGAGCTGGGTGGGTGTGGCACGAGCGGCCGTCCCGCGCCGCCCAGGTGTCGTCTGGGTCAGCCCGGTCACGCGTCAGAGGCAGTCTGGTCGGAGATTAGCCGCGGCTCTCGGCCAGGATACCGTACAAGGCGGTCACAGTCACGGCCGAACCGACAACCTAGGCCCAGCACGGGCATGACCCAGACCAGACTCCCCTGTGCAGTGACTCCCCAGACTCCCCAGACTCCCCTGTGTAGTGTGCCGACGCCGACTCGGGTGGTATAAGCTGAGGAGGTCCGGTCCACCGGCTTTAGCCGGCCCGAGAGATGAGCGGCCGCCGTATGGACTGAAATGTGTCTCAGCCTGGACCTGACCTGACCTGACCTGACCTGACCTGAACTGACCACACCCGAGCGACCGCCCAGGGCTACGAACGGGATCTAGCCACTCCGGAGTCCAGCGCCGCGGGGTGACGACGGGGGTGAACGCCGACACCCGTCGTCCAGCCACCGCCAACCGCCAGCCGCGGGACGGCGGGGAGGCCGATCCAATCAGAGGCGCACTCTAAGTTTGGCGATCTGATACCGGCGTGTGATAAGTGGCCTAGCAATCCCGGAAGCCATACGTTATCGCTCCCTTGTCTATGTTCGATCGGCTGGCGCTCTAACACCATTCCAAATGAGGAATCCTGGATCGCAGCGTGGTGGCGAGAAGTATGCAGTTCATTATGCCGTTAAGGAAGCGATAAACCTCCACCCATGCGAGTCATGCGCAGTTCATGCGCGACAAACTGCCTTGGCTTCCCGATATCCCAGAAGCTGGCAAACAACTGGCCCAGCCGCGTCATGTTTCGATGCAGTCGGGGGCGGACGGCGGTGGGAGGGAGGGAGGGGTGGGGCAGCTGCCCCTAACTCTAGGCAACATTTCACATTAGCCCTGTGGCGGTACATGGAAAGGAATGAGGTAAAAGTAATGTCCCCCCTCCCCCCCACACACACAATTTCCTCAGATGTTCTGCCGCCACTGGATGCAGAGAGCGAGGCTGCCGAACTGCGTCCGTTCCGGCCGTCTCAAGCCTTATCAGGCGACCGGAAGCCGCGCCAGTGCATCCGCAGCCAGTCAGACGAGCCCAATACCGGCCGCCGCGAAACAGATAGCCGGCCAGCCGCGCGCCGTCCGTCTCCATTACGGCCGCACGCGCCGCGCGATCGCCGTCTGCGCCCGGTCACGCCTCTGCGTCGAAAAGCGACCGGTCGACGGGTAACAGGAGCGTGCCGCGCGCGCTGGCCAGCTGGTCAGGGGCCGAACGCGTAAGCCGAGCGCGGACCGGCGGCGTGCCCCGCCACCAGCCGCAATCTGGAGCAGATCTCGTGCTCGGCTCACGGAAAATGCCGGCGGGAAGTCGCCGACCGGCAGAGCTGCCTGAAAATGGTCCGAAAAAGTCTCTGGCGGAGAGCTGGAGACGTGCGGTGCTTCACGCTGAATCGCAGCGATAGCGTGACATGGCACGAGAGCTTGGCTTAGGCGGGGCCCTGACGGGGCAAGACTAGCGGGCGCCGACCCCCCCCCCCTCCCCCTGGCTCGTCGGGCCGTGGACCGGCGCTTATAAGGTCATGTGGAAGAAGCCGTCCTCATCTCGGCCCAGTCCCGACGCGGGCATGGTGCCAGAAACGCGGCTCAAGCCCGGGGCCTTGCGTGAGTTGGGCCTTGGCGTGTGTTGCGCCGGCTCGCACCCCCAGTGAAGGGTTCCGGGGTTGCGTCGTGCGCCGTCGATAACGTGCCGGCACACCTGTGCGGCCGTTAGCACCTGCGCCGGGGCGTGCGGGCCGCCGCCGAGTCGGTCGGCGTCGGAGGCCTTGACTCCGGGGCGGCCGAGTCACTGTGTCAAGAGCGCATCGACTACGTGCGCGCCGGCCGGCCGACCCCGGACCGGAACTGCGGCGTCCGCGGCCCGTGCCCCGCTGGGCTCTCTCGAGTCCCGGGCCGGACCACTGCGGCTCAGTGCGGCGGGACAGGTCTCATGGACCAGTTCTGCGGCTAAGTCTTGCCGAAGGGGCTGGCTGGTCTGCACGGTTTCGGCAGGTGCGTGGTCCGCCACAGCTCGGCGGCAAAATGATGCACACAACACACAGGTAGCTACGATGAACCCCAATCCCCTGTTTGTGGTTGTCCGCCGTCATCTGCCGTATTTCGAACCCTCGTGAGCCCAGACGCATCACTGATCTGAGAAACGGCAGACTCGATTCGTGAACATGAACTCTGCCGAGGGATGGCCTGCGCAACACACACGCCAGGGGAGCTACCCATCCGGCGGAGCACTTGTATTTAAGTCGCTAAGAATAATGGACCCCACAATTATCATAGGTTTATCGCAACCTATAGAGCTAGAGCATTCAAAACGTTATCCGTTGAGTTCTGATACCGCTTCACAACGGCTACGCCTCATTCGAACCGTAAAACGTCATTCAAGGACGCAACGCCATATCTTGTGCCATGTTTGTTCTCGGCTTGTATGGACCCCCTATCTGGGCAGCCCCTGCGCCATTCGAGAGTGGCGGCATGCGACGATCGAACGCTGTCTGCCCTTCCCCACCTCGAACGCTCCTGTGAAGCACCGGCCCCGGCCCGGAATGTCCGGCATCCAGGCCCTCGCCGCTCGCACCCGCCTCCGCCGGCAAGGGGAAAGTTGGGTCGTTAGTACCTGCACTGGGTGGCCCGGTCAGTGCGCAGCGGAATTTGGCCGGCCGATGTGCGCCCCCTGGTCGGCGGCGGAGGCGGAGAGGTGGGAGTGGACCAGCGGCCGGAGCGGAGCTCCAGTTCCGCGCCCGCTCCCACGCCGGCCCCCATCGCTGAGTGAGAGTCCAGCCGGGCGTTTCACTTCAAAATGGGAAGACTTCGGGTTTGCGGCTCGGCGATTCATCATGCTCAGACAGCGCGGTCGAAGAGCCCAGGCCGGCAGGGCGGCTGGGTGGGCGGGCGGACGGGTCGAGGTGGCGCGGTGCACACGGGCGGCTCCGTCTGTTGACGACGGAACCTCGCGCCGATGAGGATCGTAGCGCCCGAGGCAGGCCGGCGCTTCATTAGTGGACCGGGGGTGTCGAGACGCCGGTCAGGTGGATCGAGCTCTGTCAGGCGATAGATGGATCCCGAGGAGGGAGACGCTCGCAGAAAAACAGGCGCCCGACCAGCCGACCGTGTGGGAAGTAGACGGAGTGGCGAGAAATTGAAAAAGGAGGAAAACAAAGTGGGCGGTGATGTGAGGCATAGAGTGGTGATCGCCAAATAAGCAAAAAACTGTAAAAACCTTATTGAAATTTTCACATAAACTGTATGCCACACTCGCACTTACGCAACTGCAACTGCTACATTTCAGAGGACCTAATGACCTCTAAAATCAGTGGAACCAGATATGTGGACCCAGTTAGCAGCACGGAATTGCACAGTGACAGGTCGTGCACGCACAGCGAGCAAGAAGGAAAACTCGCAAGCTCCCCACAATGAGCTGCAACGTGACACGGTGAGAGGAATGAAAGATGCCGTGTGATTCATCACATACCTTACCTATATCAGCCGGATAGTGCTGGCGGGCATGCGACATCCATCACCGGTCTGACGTGTGATGGGTGCGAAGAACCAAACACGCGACAGCATGACTAATGAACAAAATGAGGCAGGTGAGGAATGCCATGGAAGATGGAGCCGCGCAAGAACAGCTCGAGAAGACTGGCCGCGTGCACTGACGCTGGAAGGCCAGCCGCCGACCTTTG